GCACACAAAGAAATCCGAGCGCAAAATTTAAACACAAAAGGTGCATTGTCCCTTCATGTCTTTTACGCACAGAGGCCAAAACAGCCAATTCCTGGTTCACCTTCTTTTATGTAAGTGGATTAAAAGTAAGATTAACAAACTGTCAAAAAGCATGTTAAATGATAGCTTCTGCTAGTTAAAAATTCTGATGGTTCTAAAACTCTGTTGGTGGCCATCTTGGCCTAGGAGCTTTAATATAAATGAGACTGGTGAAGGCAGGGGATGGGGGAAGGAGTCCTTACAGCCAGAGCAGTTCAGGGGGAGGAAGAGGTTATTAAAAATGAGCAATCTCTACAGAAAGAAAACACATATTCTGAGCAGGATTTGTCTTTCAACTTACGCATCTACGCCAAGGAACGCATTAGAAAAACAAAAATTGTGCACCGCCCGTTTTAGGGACGGAATTTCATCACTCTGTAGGTATTTACTGAAAATGATACTGTAACGTTAATTCCTGTTGGATTATTGCATCCCCATCTTGTTCCCGAGCCCCGTTCCTGTTCCCGGCTATGTTCGTTCCTGTGCACCATGGGTCCCTCCGAACAATGAGGCAGGGAGCATACGTAGGGAGGTCGACGCAGCCAGCACGTATTCCACCTTACATCGAAAACCCGAGGTGGCCATCTGCACGCCCTGGGGGTGGGGTGCCCCCGCCAGCGCAGAGGGGTCCGGGTCGCTCTTCGAGGGGGACTCGCGCGGCAGAAGCGCAGCTGCACGCCCGAAGCAAAACACGGGTCCCCGTGCACTGGAAATAAAATTTCCCCTTTATTCCCCAGCGATGTCATCTGCTGGGTGGAAACGCGGCGGCCCGCAGCAAGCGCGGCACCCGCCCGCAGCCTCCCGGGGGCACCCCAGCAGCGGGGGGACGGGGGGCCGGGGGGCCGGGGGGGCCATCGGCTTCCCCGCGCGGCCCCATCCCCGCCGGGCCCTGCCCGGAGCGTCCCCCCCCCGGCACACCGCCGCCGACCCCACGCCAGCCCCCCAGCACGACGGACCCACGGGGAGTGGGAGCCGCCACCGGCGAGGCGGGCGGGGAGCGGATCACACCGGGAGGGGTGATGCCGGGGCTTTTTAAGGATAAACTGCAAAACTGAACCCAAGGGATGAAAATCGCAGGGTGCCGTAAAACTCACAAGTTTTGCCACCGACTTCTTTTCTGCTGTAATTAGAGGGCTCTAAACTGGCCCCCGCTTGAGCACAGAATACTTTAAAAATGTCTCTGCCTCTACAGCTGAAATCCAAAACAATGCGAGGAAGGGAAGGAAAAGGAGCCAAGCATTCTGGGGAGGAAAAGGCGCTGCCGTGAGCACCCCCAATGTCGCGAAGATGAAAAGGGGATGTGATGGCATGTCCTTTGGAGCACAAACCGTATTTCTCTGGGTTTGTGAAGCAGCTGGCATTTAGAAAGGCAAAGTTGTAAGCTCAGCTCCCTCGTAATCTAGAACAAAGAGCTTTACAAGACCTTCAATTGCCTTGACCGAAAAAATCACATGGATTATTATTTACACTGCAGTAAACTATGATCAAAACTGTTTATCCTGGATCTGCCAACAAAGTCCTTGTGTTATTATTTGAATTGATAATAACCCCTTTGATAAATGTAAGCGGGTATCGGGACCGACCTATTTATTGCAAATAGATACCTATATGAAGAAAAACTTAAAATGTGTTTTAACAAATGTAATTTCCCTTTTCTGATATAGGGGAAATACATAGAGAGCAGGCACAATGAAAATGATTTGTAAAAGTTTTAAATCACCATCTTAAAGAGGTTATTAAATATTATTTTAAACCACAGTGGGAATTGGATTGTTCTGCTGGCTTTGATTGGTTTTCTGCAGAATAATTTTAGTTAACAGAGTTGAAAGAACAAGTTTAAAGAAACTAACTTCATCCACTTATAAAGCTTTGATTATCATAGAGCCTTTAAATTTAAGCTTCATTGAATACAATATGATAATCTTTTTTTCTATCAAAAGGCAAATTAAAATATTCTGCTTATAATCCTTTTTGCTATTTCAACTGCTCGTAAGATTTCTTGCACTGGCAGTCTATTTTGGTTGGAATAAGACATTTCTGCCCATACAACAAATTATTTGTAATGTGCCAAAATTTGTCACCACAGCTAATGTAAACAAAAACCTACCACCATCCATAACAGCAGAATGGATTTATTATTTAGTCATTGTTCTAGTCAATCCACGTTTCTGTGCAGGGGCTTCAAGAAGTCAATAGATGGCAGTCCATCTCTTAGGAAAGAGCCACATAATGAATAAAATCACCAAAAGCTCCACAAAAGAGAAAGGTGGAAGGCTGTGTGTTTTTTCACAAGCATTCACAGTAATTAACTAAGAATACTTTATATAATGAAAAACATTCAGGCAAACTTTGCAATGGCTGTCTGTAAGCAAAGTTATAAAATCGGTCTTTTGTTACAAAACTGAATGCCTTGTTTTATTTGTGCCTGTATGTACCTGTATGTCTGACACTTGCGATCAATTTACCAAAATCAATTTAAATCTGGTGGTTGTATCCATGGCTAAAGCACGGGAAAAACTCACTGTAGCCTTAGTCTGTTTGCTAATAATCAAGCAGCCTCTGCAGCACAGACACAACCACAGTAGCACTTTTAAAAATACTTCTATGATTTTTCTTTAAATTGTTATCCCGTTTGGACAGAAATATTTACTCTACACTAGGAAAATTATAAACTAATTTCTGTAGTGAAATGACACTCTGCTAATACGTAAGTAAAAGATCTCAACTTTTTAGTTACAATTCTGTAAATACATCTATAACATATATTATTCTAACACAGAAGTTTTGATTTTTGCAAGAACACTAACTATTTCGGTTCTGCTTTGGGTGCAAAACAGACTATTTAAATGGAATAGTAAAAGCTGGGACTCATACACTTAAACAATTCAGATAATGCAGTTTCTTGAGGTATAACTTATTTTAAATATCAAGCACGTCTTTTACTACACAAATTTTAAATTCCAGGCTTAATCTGACTACTAATGTAACTTTGACTCAAAGTGAGTCTTCCCATGCAAAAAATGGAGACGTGCAAAGCTTTTCCCACATATCAGAAATGTGGATTATCTGCAGATAATTTGCAGTTCACTGCAAAATAAAAAATTATTTATCAGTAGGTAGGGTCTGACTCAATGTCAATTTATCTCTGTGTGCCTATATTTGACTACATTTCAAAATGTCCCTAAAATGCACCAAGGATTTCCAAGTGGGTACTTTCAATAATACAGTTGTATCCGTAACTACTGCATTTTCTAACAAGAGCTTGTTTTGACAAATCTTGTTAGCTTCACACTAGATAAAGTGTAAACTCCAAACACTTTTTACAAAATTTACAGATAAACTTTTCTACCTCAGAAACCTCAAATTCTACCCTACTAACCACTTGGTCAGGTTTAAGCTCCTCCATACTTTTTTACAAAAAATAAAAATGAATGCTGATTGCAACTCACTTTTTGAGGAATTTTCAAAGGCAAGCAAGACTAAAATGGGATTAAATCTTATACCTCAGTAAAAAACACAACCCAGCATATTACTGCATCTAATATACCTATCTGACTCTTAGATTCTAGATATCATAAACATTTCAGAAATTGTTTTTACATGCACCCTTAGGGATTATAATGAAAGACAGTATTTACCTTTTTCCTTCATGTAATTTTAAAAAAGCAAACAGAAATACTCAGTGAATGCACCTTTTGCTCATAGTGTGTTTTTTTTTGTTTTGTGTTTTTTTTTTGTTTGTTTGTTTTTTGTTTTTTGTTTGTTTTTTTTTTGTTTGTTTTTTTTTTTTTTTTTTTTTAAAGTCTATACCAATTCTGTTTAAAATAAATGATCAGAAAGTGTGGAAGATATCCAAAGCAAACCTTTGTTTTGAAATCATTATGCAGAAAACACAAGCAAGAGGTTTTAAGCACAGACTTCTCCTATTCATTGAATTTAGAAGCAAAAAACAGAAAAAAGAACATTCCACTACCATGAAGAGGTAGAGGCAACAAATTATAAAGCACATCCCATTTATTGCTCAAAAGAAAAAGTCCGCTCCAAAGACCCATAAAGAAAAGTAATGGAGAAACTTTTCTACTTTGTTTTGCACGGGCAGCAGTAGTTAACTATCTACAACAGCTAAATACACACGAAGTTGATCTGGATAGCAATGATAGCAAAAATTCAGATGAACAGCAAAAATCTTAATCTTTAAAGGTGTTTTTATATGTAATAATTTTATAAAGGAATATATTTAAGATTTGTGACACCAATCTATTGAATACTGTCTTAACCAGTTAAATGTTGTTCCAGTTTTCAATATTAGTCAAATTTCTACGCATTTTGTTTTATTTTTATCTCTATTTTACATATGAGGAAAAACCTTAAGTAACACACTGGTACAGTTCACAAAGTTTTATTTTCTTGTTTCAGTGATTAAAGATCTACTAATGGAGGCCAAAGAAGAAGTTATAGCTATGTCCTTATCAATTAGAAATTATCTGCAAAAGTTTATAAAGTGTATCTGCTCAAATTAACATCTCCACTCTAGCTGAGATTTATTTTACTCATTTAAAAAGAAAGCTTTGTCACACACAGTGACTATTTACCAGCATCTGGGATATCTGAGATGGGATTACTGCTTCTGCTATGCATCTCAACTTAAAATTTAACCCTCTTTATGTGTGTAAATGTAGTCACTGAGAGGAGAGAGTGCTGCAAGGCACTCATTTAATCATTACAGTATTAAAATGAAACCATAAGTTCTAGAGATGTTTAAAAAATAGTGACAGTGTTTCATTGCATTCTTCAGTTCAAAAACTCTTCAGATGTTTATTATCTTCCCGCAGAAGATGCTTGTCTATATTTTATGGTCAGCAGTTCACAGAAGAGTAAATAGGTTGGGTGTAGAAGAAAATAAAAAAGGTGTTTCTACTTACTGTTAGGTGATACTGCCTCCATATTTCTGGGCAAGCCTGGAAAATAAAAATATTGATCAGCTAGGAGCATGAAACAAGGTGCTTTACAGCCTGTTGGTTTTGGCATAACACAGTATCCACCGGTGTCGGTCACAGGAAAATAAGAAGCTTAACTGAAAGGGTCTGCATTTCAGCTTCAAAAACCTGGCTAGACAGTTTAATTGAATTTTACACTGGTTTAACACACTCCCTGCCATTGTCAGAAAGCCAGTAACAGTTTTCTCTCTCCCCTTCTTCTCTGAAGGTTAGAAGTTTGGGAGAGTAATGTGCTCTTAACTGCAGTAAGTATTAATACTGCAAAACAAACAGAAATGAATTTAAATTCTACATTTTCTGACATTTCAAATTTACATAATGTTTTGGAAATTAAATCACAAGGTACTTTCCTTTCATGTAGGCATAGAAATATTTTAGTATTTTTGTACATATCCTTATCCTAATCAAAATATAATTGTTACATGTAATAATCCTCAGCAGCCTAGTGTCAGATGAGTTGTAAACAAGAAGCATAACAGATTGCTTTAATGTTTCTATTTTTACAACGGCTTGCTTGATTTTTTTTAAATTAAAGAAAAAAAACCAAACCAAAACAAAACAACAAACCAACTTGCCAGACTTGCACACAAACTTCTAAGTGCAGCCCTTTGTAAAAAATTTTGCAGTGCAGATTTTTGAATCACACCAATAACACAATAGACTTGAGGAATACATAAGAGACAGGAAAGAGGAAAATGTGGGTCTTCTTTATACAAAATCAGAACGTGTTAGTTAGTGATAAATGAGACAGAGGTTACTTTCTCAAGGGTTCTTAACATTTTTACAGAATCTACAATATTTCTGTCTTGTGCTCTGACCCCCAAGCCATAAACAGACACAGAAATAGAGGTACTTTGTCTGTTAGCCATTTTAGTGTTTAAGAGTGTGCACACAGTTACTTCAATGGAGGTCTTCCACTTTTGTTTAAAACATTTACCCTTTTATTAAAATAGCTCCCTAATCATTTGAACAATTAGCAATTTGGTTTGCCAATCTCAATTTTCAGTATTTTAAGAAGAAATATTAGATATTCTGTGGCTTCTACATAATATGCTGTAGCTCCAATTTCAAACATCGAAGCCTCCTGACTACTTGCAAATGAGTACTATTAACATTTCTTTAGATTTCGAATAAATTTTTCGCTCATGCCTAAATTCTTGCCTTCTTTTATTCTGACAGAGCATGTTAATTAAAAAAAAAAAAAAAAACCAAAAACCAAAACACCGAACAACCAATATTAGCAACTGAATCTCTCAAAAAATAATCCAAGTTTTTGACAGTCACCCTATGGCTTATACAGTATGTTTTTCCCGGATGCGATGGAAATGATATTATTTATTATTCATTCCGTCAGTAACACAATTTTCTGGAGAAAAATCTACAATCTGTTCTGTGTAATGGTTCGACATTTCTCTTCCTACTCAAATACTGCATGTAAATATTTGAGATTTATATTAATATTTCTATAAAGAAAATGTGTGAAGTACATCACATTTTCAACAGAGGAACAGACTACAACATTTGACAGTTTGAACACACTCAAGCTGTCTTCGAGTGCAAACAAAGGGATTTTCCTCCTTTGCTAACTTACGCAGGATTTGGATGTGAGATATATAAAAACTCTCCAGCGTATAAAAATACCGTATCAGAGACCGTGCCTTCACTCTCAAACCTGTAAAAGGCTTCAGCTGTACACGAGACTTTTGCTGGTTTAGCACAGGGGTAGCAGGCAGTTATTTATACATTAGTTCTGGATAGTTTTCGATTACCACAGTGTCCCCAGACTAATATGGTTGAAAAATCGCAATCAATGAGTTGTCATATACTGGCAAAATGCCACTCTGTGACATGACCTTTACTCACACAGCAGCTATTTAATAATAATAATAATAATAATTACTTTATTTTTGAATAATACTTCGGGGGTTTTTTTGGGGGTGGGGCGGGTGTTTGTTGTTTGTTTGTTTTTCACTCTGGACACAAAGACATCACTTATAGCAAAAATCTGTAACTCTGAGTAGGAAACTACAGTTGACCCATCTTACCAAAACACTGGAAGAGGCACAGTCCAGCCCCTCCGCAGTGCTATCAGGAAGTGGGTTTTATCATCACTGACTTTAGGGATGTTTTAAGGCTGTGGGAGAACTTAAGGGAGGTAGGAAGAAGGTGGTAAGGGAAAATTGGCCAAGCATATTTCTTCATTCAGATGGTGATTTGCTGTAATACTTTCCGTCGTCACAGTGATCAGTTATGAACTTCAGAACTCAAATACAATAGTTGAAAATGGATGCCTGGCTAAACAACAGCTTTTTAGAAATGATGCTTTTAACTAGGACTCTTATTACCTTGCATCAGCTCAGAGTTATTGTCTGCATCTTCTAGCACAGAATGACAAAAAGTATAATTAACAATTACTACTGAATACTGGCTTCTTAAATGAAGCAAAGAGGTTTGCTGTGGAAGAGAGCATAACCAAATACAACAACCACCGATCCTACGATTTCTCTTATTTATTTAAAAGTACTTAACCGTGAATGGCCCTCATTTGAAGAAAAGCCCTTGTGGTATACAGGTACGATGGCAGTGTGATGAACTACATTAAAATAAAATTGCATTTATTTCCTGCCCCAGCGGTCCGACCTTACTAGCATTTAGATGCACCAGCCACCCTGAAAAGCGGTGCCACCGCGGTGCGGCTGCAGCGCGCACGGGCCAGGTGTGCCTCCCCACGCCTTCTGCCCCGTCCCTGTGCCTTCTGCGCCACAAGTGCCGGGCAATTCACTTCCCCAAATCCGTGCTGCTTTTGCCGTGGCCCACATTTGGTTAATTTGGAAGGGCGATTATTCATATCCGAGCCTGATCCGGCTACGGTTGCCACACCAGATGAATCAGGGCTGGGTACTGCGCATTTTGACCCGTATTGAATTTTATCAGGTGCTAATTATTGTTTTACCAGAACAACGGCTTAATGCATCTGTTGTTTAATTCCCACTTCCCTATTCTCAAACGTGAACATCAAAGAAAATAAAACACTCAATCTCAAACAGCCCCTGACAGCAGACCAGGACTCGAGTGCTCAATAGACAAGGCCCTTGCCACCAGTTCTCATATTTCCACAACAATGAGCAAACACAAAAACAGCACTAAGCGGCCTTTCCTCCTTTCCGCTCCCCTTGGCCGGTCGTCTGCCTTGCGCCGAGAGGGCCCTCGACGGCGGCCCTGCTGGGAGCGCGGCGCGGGGGAGAGGATTAGCCTCGCTAACATGCGAGCATTTGCAAAAGGGAAGGAAAAACCCCGCTACTGTATTTGGCGTATGAATAACCAAAATGCACGCGCTGACAGGAGACCGGGACGGGCCTGCGGCTCCCCGGGAGAAAATGTAGCTGTGATGAGTGACAGGGCTTTCAGGAAATATGTTCACAATCACAGACAGTGAAGGCCATGACCTAGATCGTTTAAGAGCTTGTCTTGTCAAATTATCAAAAGCTTCTTCCTCTCTGAATAAAGAGTGACATAAGTGAGTGTCAGAAAGCTGCAGGCTGACAAGCCAAGCATACAATAACAGCATGCACGTCACATACTTGCCGAACACCGCCACGGCTAGCGGCAAATCTTAATGAGAGCGCGGCTGGCCCAGGAGACTTGGGTCCCTGCTGGCACAGCTACTCATCTCGCAAAAATCCTTCAGCTCCAAGTCAGTTATGGTCTGACACGACGACTACAATTACTAAACACAACTTTTTAACAGAATCCTCTGGTGTTTTGTCAAAGCGGCGGCTGCTAGGAGCTGCCCCGCCGCAAGCCACCACAATGAAACAAAAGATTTGCCAAAACACACACTTTTCATCACCCCCGCATGGGAACCGCCGCGGAAAACACACAATGCCTCCCTTCAACACCGCTCCCGCACGAGCAGATGTCGAGACCTCTCGGCAGCCGCCACCGAGGCCGGTGCCCGCCGCGCTCCCGCCGACGTCCGCCCGCGCCGACCGTTGGGCCGGCATTGGCGCGCCGCGGGCGCGAGGAACGGGGGATGCCGCCGAGGAAGGGGGGCAGGAGGGGCACCCCGCTTTGCTTTCTGCCTGGGTGCCGGCGGGAAGGGGGGCCCTTCGGCCAGGGGGCCACCCGCCAGACCCGCGGGCTCACCCCCACACCACCAGCCGCACCCCGGCCCCGCGGGGGTTCCGAAAATGACAGAGGCAGAAGGAAATCTCCAGGGGGGAGAAGAGGCCCAGGGGGTGGTTTACGTGGCTGGAAAAGCTGTCAGGGCGCAGGGAGATGATGGTGGCCGAGGCACCCGGGGGGTTCCGGGGAAGGAGCGATGCTATGGGGCGTGCAGATGCGCACGGCACAGCTGGAGAGCGCCGGGGACGCGGGCGCTGCTGGCTGCCAGCTCCCGGGCGAGCTCAGCGAGCGCCCGCGTGCTGTTTTCTCCTAAGTACGCACGGAGTCGCTGCCCTGCCTGCCACGTTTGCCTCCTCCCTGGCCCATCACCCTGTTTTTGAAGTTCTGCTCCCGCCCCTGCCGCTGGCAAATGAGACTGTAGGCCACCAGCCTCATGACATCCACCCAACCTGCAATACACAGGGCCTTCACAGCATGCGTTTTTCAGCGTGGACATAAACAAGCGTGAGTGCACATGTGTGTACACAGACACGCACACATAGCTACACATGTATATGGGCACACAGTGCCCGATGTGCTCTTTCCTAGGTGGAGCAGCATAAGGTCAGACAGAGAACCTTGAAACTCTGAAGTTTCGAACAACCCTGCTCCTCCGATGACCTTCCTGAGGAACACGTGAGGTTGAGCTGCAACCAGCACGACTCCATCTAAGATGACTCCATACATTCTCAGAGCTGTCTCAGAGCAAGAGACCGACCTAACAGATAATAAATGTACTACCCTGAAAGGGTTCTAAGTAACTTGGAACATTTTCAAATCAAACTAGGCGAAGTACC